GGAAGAATGACATCAGATTGTGGTATTTCCATGACCATTGCAACTAGAAGCTGCTACATTAGCTACAAATACTTCCAAGAATGGGAACACTTGATCCAAATTTTACTATGCCCATTGTAAACATACAAGACACATGAAGGATCGGTACTATGCACATAATGGATATCCAGCTCATTGGAATCGATGCAAGAATGATAAAACTCCTTCACAACAAGTTAACACCTCAATTGCTAATAAATCAGCCACTTGTGCATCCAATGGTACATGTCATATGGCTCTAGCAAATGAATCTTCTCCAATAGCAGGTGTTACCATGCACTAGTATTCTAAACTCATTTATCTACTAAACTATGAATCCTCTAAATTTGTTGCCAACACCTTTGTTGGTAATTGAAAACTTTATTGAATGGATCATAGATAGTGGTGCATCTGACCACATGGTTTCTTCACCATCCTATTTCCATGTCTCTGAACCTGTTCATACCTCTATACGCCTTCCAAATGGCTCTGTCACTCATTCTACTTATCGTGCTTCCATTTTCATGGGTTCTTACACCTTGCATGATGTTTTATTTGTTCTAGAATTTCATTGCAATCTCTTATTTGTAAAAAAGATTACACAACAACTAAATTGTGTAACTGTTTTCTCTCCTTCTTGCACACTTCTGGACCTGAACTCAAAGACTGTGATTGGGACGGGTAAACTTTGCCACATCCTGTACCACTTTACCTTTCACTCCACTCCACCTCCATTGGCTGCAAACTCTTCAATTACTCCCATCAGCCCTGAACTTTGGCATCAACGGTTAGGTCATGCTTCACGATCCTGCATGGAGCTCATTCCCAATATATTTACTTCTAGCTTAAACAAGTGTTGTGATACTTGACATGGAGCCAAGCAAGTTCGAATTCCATTTCCTATTAGTACAACATGTAGCTATTTTCTATTTTTTCTTATTCACTGTGATATTTGGGGCGGCTATAAAACCCCTTCACATTCTGGTGCACAGTATATCGTCACTATTTTTTATGACCATACACATTGTATCTGGATCTATCTGTTCAAAAATAAAACAGAGGCTAGCTTTTATCTTATGACATTTTGCATCATGGTTACTCGACAATTTAATGCATCTGTAAAAGTTGTTTAATCTGAAGATGGTTCTAAATTCACTTCTAGACTTGTGTAGGAATATTTCACTAGTCAAGGTATTCTACACCAAAGGACATGTGTTGCCACACCCCGACATAATGGGGTAGCTGAGAGGAAACATCACTATTTAGTGTAAATGACTAGAAACTTGAAATTTTAGGGTGAATGTTTACTAACTACTACATACATTATCAATTTACTCCCTACCCCAATATTATCCAACATTTCTCCCTATGAAGCCTTGTTTCATAAAAAACCTTCATATGATCACTTGTAGGTGTTTAGATGCCTTTGCTATGCCCAAGTGATTCCTAAGCCTCTAGAAAAATTCGTTATCAGAGTTGAACTTTGCATTTTTGTGGGTTACCCACATGGAGAAAAGGGTTATTGGGTCTATAGCCTTAAAACCTGACGGGTCTTTACTAGTAGAGATATTGTTTTTTCATGAAGAAAATTTTCCTTACAAGACTATCTCACTTCCCTTGAAAAATTCTATTATCCCACTTCCATCAAACTCATGTGATGATCTTGATTATCCGGGTCCAACCACAAATAATGGCCTACCTAAAGAATCAACTTTCACCCCATCGCAAGACCATGGACCTATTGATGCTAGTCCAACAGCTATTACTTCACCACAACCCAACACTCAAACTTGTGATTAAGTTCAAGCTCCTATTTTAGTCCTAATCCATACCTCTGGTCCTTGACGTCATACCACAACCCCAACTTGGCTCAATGATTATGTATGTGTCCTTCCACCCTCCATTGTCAAGTTAAATCATGTTGCTTTGGATGTTGAGCTAAAATCCTATGCTTAAGCTGCCCAAGATCCCCGTTAGCGCCAAGCTATGCCCAACGAAATAGCAGCCCTAGAACAAAACAACACATGGCAAATTGTATCTCTACCTCCAGGAAAGCATCCCATTGGCTCCAAACGGGTATATAAAATAAAATACAAAGTTGATGGTACTGTTGAGAGCTTCAAAGCTCGTCTTGCAACAAAAGGATACACTCAGGTTGAAGGCCTTGACTATCATGAAACTTTCGCTCAAGTAGCAAAATTGGCCACACTTCGTTGTCTTCTTGTTGTGGCAACTGTCAAGGGTTGGGATCTTCACTAGCTTGATGTTAACAATCTTTCCTCCATGGGGATCTTCATGAATAGGTCTATATGATTGTCCCTCAAGGCTTTGCAACCACAAATCTCACTCATGTTTGCAAGCACCAGTAATCTTAATATGGTCTCAAGAAAGCCTCCCGAATGTGGTTTGCAAAATTTACACAAGCCTTAACTTCTACACAATCCACTATTGATTATTTCCCTTTTTATTGCCTCCTCGAAGGACTCCTTTATTGCCATTCTTGTAAATATGGATGATGCCACCATCACAAGCAATGACCATGACCGTATCATCTCTCTCAAAAGGCACATTGATAACAGATTTGGCATTAAAGATCTTGGACCTTTACGATTCGTCTTGGGTCTTGAAGTTTCACATTCAGAAGTCAGGATATTTCATAGTCAACATAAGTATGCTTTTGATATTGTTCAAGAAACTGAACTTCAAGATTGCAAACCTTGTTTGACCCCAATGGAATAACAAAATCATCTTGTCGATTACTCCAGCCCACTTTATTTGGATCCTACATAGTATCGTCGGTTGGTAGGAAAATTGGTGTACCTCACTATTACCCGACCAAAACTTAGAGTTATTCATGCATCAACCCCACCAGGAACATTTTGATGCAACACTTAGAGTTATTCATGCATCAACCCCACCAGGAACATTTTGATGCAACACTTATCTCTTTGCTAGATTATTCTTTTCAGCCTCAAGTTCTCTTCATCTCCAAGGATTTTGTGACTCGGACTGGGCAAGCTGCTCCCTCACTCATCGATCAACTATGGGATATTTCACCTTACTTGGTGACTCCCCTATCTCATGGAAGACTAAGAAGCAGCACACGGTTTCATGATCTTCAGTCAAAGCTGAATACCATGCAATGGTTTCTACCTCATTTGAAATTATTTGGTTACAACGGGTACTTGCTGAGCTTACAATTACCTTATTCGAACCTCCAGTTCTTTATTGTGACAGTAAGGCCGCTCTCCACATTGCAACTAATCCAGTCTTCCACAAATGCACTAAGCACATCAAGATCGACTGCCATTTTGTTCGTGACCTTATCCGATGTGGCAATCTACTCACTACACATGTGTCAGAACCTCACAACCAGCTGATCTATTTACCAAGGCTATCCTTGTTGATTGTTTTTTGGATTACTTGTCCAAGTTGGGCATCAAAGACACTCCAACATGGGGGAGGGGGGGTCTTGACAATTTGTACAAACTTAGTTATAACCGACTGAATTCATGTCTATATATACCTGTAATTTCTTCTAACTTAATACAAGAGTTCCCTTTATCATTTGGTACCTGTCTTCATAATTGACTATAACCCTTCTCTCTCTTTGAAAATGCGTATCAATTAATCTCTCTTTATATGGAAATTGCAGTCTTTTGCTCGCAAATTTTCTTTACTGATTTGAATTTGCTCTCCATCTTTCTATAGTTGAGTCGGTTGATACGTGGGACAAAAGAGTAACAGTATGGGATGTGATCCTATCTTGGAAGGTCACAAAGGTGAGAGAGGTTGCATTTTTTATAGTTGATGGTGGAGACGTGAAACACTTGATGACCTCATCCATGGAGTTGTTTTTAGTTGATAGGTATTTGGGTATAAAACTAATATTGAAAACATTTAATAAGGTTGATTGGCTACTTAGGGGTAGTTTGGTCATGTAAATTGTAGACAATTTTTGTCATTTATGTTAATGCTCATTAACATTGTTCTAACAAAAGGTGAATTTTGGACAATAAAAACTAATTGACATGGGAGGTTTTGAAAATTCATCGTGAGTTTAGAGAAATGCCAAAAGTCATGGTGAGTTTTATATAACCTTGGAGATCTTCCCAATACAAATGTGTCATGGGGTAACCATGGGGCACATTGTGTGGGGTGCAAATAGGGGCGTAATCAAGCCAAGCCGAACTTTGGCATGTCTAGGCTCAGCTTGACTTCACTAAAATACTACTAGGTTTGAGTTTGAGCTCAAATTTAGCTTGAACTATATCTTCTTGCTTGAGCTTAGTTCGATTAAAAATTTAATGAGCTTGAGTTCAACTCGAAAATAAATATATTTATATATTTTATATATATGATATTTTTTATAATATATACTATATCTTATATTATATAGAATATAAAAATATTTTTATAATATATTATAAAATATTTATTATATTCTATAATATATATATATATATATATATATATATGTATGTGTGTATGCATGTATGCATTAATTAAGTCAAGCTGGCAAACTTTCAAGTCAAACATTTTATTGGTAGAGCTCGAACTCGAATAAATAATCAAGCTTACCTCAAGATTTAAACTCCATTAGTATCGAACTCAAATCAACTCTAATTGAATTCGAGCCCAAACTATTCAATTAAGCTTGATTCGATTGCAACCGTATTTGCACCGTATTTATTTGTGTTTCCACTCTTCCCGAACTGAGCCATATGGATTCAAGATTCAATCCGATGAACCTAATCCCGCCATTAGGTTTAATGCCAGGTTTGGTTAGAATAAGTAGAAGGTTTAGTGCAACCCGATTCAATGCGGCTCGACCATCCAGTGGTGTATGTTAGCAGGATAGGGACAGAAAAGATTGCGTACGGTACGATAAAGATAAACCGATACGTAACGGGTTTCGGACAAGGTATATTCTTATTAATTGTTTATTCAAATAATGAACATTTAATTTCTGGCAACAACCGTCTCGTTGTGTAGACTGGCAGGTGAGATACGGCGTCGTTCTTTAACGACTTCCTTTGTAGGCGTCAGAGTTTCGGATTGCTCTTCTTGCAGTCAAAATCGGATTCATTGCCCTTTTGATTTCGATTGAATCCGCGTCCGATGAAATCTGCCTGAGATTGTTCCACTAGGATTTAAGAATCGTTTGTTTTAGATGAAAAATCGATCAATCGATGATTAATGGCGCCATCTTCCTCAGCGAACGGAGAAACAGCCGTTTCGCTCGCGTACACAGATAATTTAAAAGGGTTTGTTCTTGCAGTGCTCTCCAGTGCCTTCATTGGATCCAGTTTCATCGTAAAGAAGAAGGGTCTGAAGCGGGCAGGGGCGTCGGGTCCTCGTGCTAGTAAGTTAATTTGATGGCAACCCTAACCCTAGGCTTCATGATCTGGGTTTTGTTATTTTTATGGTTGTAGTGATGGCACATTGGTGCTTGTGTTGGTTTAAGGTGTCGGAGGTTATGGGTACTTGTTGGAGCCGCTTTGGTGGGTCGGCATGTTTACTAGTAAGTTGTGTTTTACTTCATTGAAGTGTCTGACATTGTTGAATGAAATGTTGAGATTGATTCATGGTTTTTTAAATCGTGGCAGTGATTGTTGGGGAGGTTGCGAATTTTGTCGCTTACGTTTTTGCTCCTGCTGTTCTTGTTACGCCGCTTGGGGCATTGAGTATAATTGTTAGGTGAGGTTGAATTTTGAATTTTGATTGGTTGAAGTGTTAAATGTAGTTGGTGGTTATGATTTTGATGGCTTGGATGTGTTTCATGGAAACGGGCAGTGCGGTTCTAGCGCATTTTTTGTTGGATGAGAAATTGCAGAAAATGGGAGTACTGGGGTGTGTTCTATGTATAGTAGGGTCTACGGTGATTGTACTTCATGCTCCTGAAGAAAGTACTCCGAGTTCTGTAGAAGAAATTTGGGATTTAGCAATCCAGCCAGGTACTATCATTATTTTCATTATGGTTTCCTTGGTTCCGTTTGCAATTTATCATTTTTTTTTTCTGTCTTGTTTCTAACTTTCTCTTAATTGATTTAATGTGTATGGTCCAGCATTTCTTTTATATACGGCATCAGCTATAGCTGTGGTGCTGGTGCTGATGTTGCATTGTGCGCCACGATGTGGGCAGACAAACATAATGGTCTACATAGGCATATGTTCTATAATAGGATCTTTGACAGTAAGTAGTTCTTACCTGTTAGCAGAATCTATGGTTTGAACACAAAATTTTCTACTTTTTATGTATCTGAGTCAAGTTATGAGGTGCATTAGATTCACAATTTGTTGCCACCTACAAACCAAAGCGGGTTGGTGTTGGATGATAGAAAAAAGAATTGTATGTTTGAGTCAGAGCTTGATGTATTGTCTTGGATCACTTTCTATTACATGTCTCATCTGATATTCTTGTTTTGTTATTTATTTTGGTAGCGTCAATACATTTTGGTTTTGCCTTTATGGAATCACCAGTTATTCTCTTTCATTTCAAGTATTCAGTTCTCATGTCCTAACCCTGCAACTGACTTTTAGGGTTCCTTTTGTTTAATGGGATCTCTATCTATAATGTGTTTATTATGTTCTACAGGTAATGAGTATAAAGGCCATAGGGATTGCAATAAAACTGACAATCGAAGGTACAAACCAGGCAGGATATTTCCAGACATGGATATTTGCAATGGTTGCAATAACATGTATCATCACTCAATTAAATTATCTAAACATGGTTAGTACTTCTCAATCTACTTATCACATATTTGATTTGTGATATATTTATTAGACTACAACATTGTTTTCTTTTGGAAATCATTGAAGGTTTTGGTTCATTAAAATTTACATTCCGTTTGTATAAGGTGATTAGATATATATTTCAGTTTCTGTATCTTGCTACATGCCAATGCTCTAATCAACAGTTTTAGAGGAATTAGAATAGGAAATTACTAAGAAGAAAACTGCAAACTATAATAGGAAACTAACTAAACCAAAAATAGACAATCAGACCATCATTTCTACATGTGGATTTCACAGCTTCCCTCTTATCTGGTGGCAAATTAGGTGTCTAAGTTTTTTTCCAGTAGACTCTTATGAGATCAATTAGGAGAAAAAAACTCTTTCTAGTTAATTTCTCCGTGTAATTTGCTCTTTCATTTGGTATCAAAGAATTAAATTGAGCCAGTTACATCAAATAAATAACTAATTTTTGTGTTTAACTTCAATTTGGTAAAACAAAAGGAGATCCAAGCAAGAAATTATTGGTCTCAGTAGTATGGGATATGCAACTGAAAAGAATGAAGTGGTGAACCAGGATTCATGTAGCCAATCCCATGTAGTTGGAACAAGGGTTAGATGATGATGACTCACATGGGTCAGATATTGTAACTACAGTAATTACTTTATCACTGCATTGAGAATAGATGATTGCAAGTTGGACCTCTCCTTGGGATAACTCCATATTATTTTGATAATTGCAACCCGTTTGGAACTTCAGAGGTTTTCATAGATAGGAATATGCTAATATACTCAACACAATTTAACCTGTTACCATTGATGGGTCTGAAGCTTTCTGTATCTATGGTTTATGAACATATAATCATAGGGGGAGATATGCAACTAGTGATAGGATGGATGGGAGGCTATTTCCCACTTCAGGCCCATGGAAATTGATGATGCGCATTTTGGCAGCTCCCCGGCTGGCAGGTGACTCGGATGCCTGGGTGAATAATTCCTACCTGGAATGTGGCTTGGATGCCTAGCTGAATGGTTCCTACCTGGAAGGTGGCTTAGACGCCTAGCTGAATGGTGACGAGCTGGAGAGGTGGCTTTGATGCCTAGCTAAATGGTGATGAGCTGGAGAGGTATCTCTGATGCCTAACTGAATGGTGACGAGCTGGAGAGATGGCTCTGTTGCCTAGCTGAATGGTGACGAGCTGGAGAGGTGGCTCTGACGCCTAACTGAGTGGTGACGAGCTGGAGTGTTAGACAGTTTTGTATGCCCTTAGCTTCAATCAGAATGATGTACTTTATGAGTTTATTGTAAATGAACAAAGATACATATTTGATTCATGTT